AACTCCAGTGTTGCCGCTAAAATTGCTGCCACACTCGAGTTTTGAACTCGGGTCTCTCCAGTCAGAGGCAAACTTACTAACCATTGAGCAACGAGCTCACAGTCTTGCCAGTATTATATCGGGTATATACAGTAGCAGATATGCGCAGTGATTAGAGCAGTGAAACGCAACGAGAAAAATGCATGTTAATTAAGTAGTAGCTTTTTACAGAGTGAAATTTTCGCAGGCGATCAGAAGGATGTTTGTTCAAAAGTCGGCAGCTTAACATATCTGATATATCTTGAGATAAGGCGGTACGACAATCAGTATTACACCCCTACCTAAGCGCTTTGCTCGAATCGAAAACAAAGCCTGTTGATTTACCCTACTTGACTAAAAACTGCTTCCTTTTTCTTCTCTTGCCACAAGGTCTGCATATCCTGCGTGTAAGGGCGGAGAGCATGCAGCGGGCCAGTGATCTCATTCCGAGTGGAATGGCCTGGGTGCGTATAACTCATGCTTCACAGCTGCGAGTCGCTATGGCTGCTGCCATCAACCACTGCAAGGAGAACCTGAGGATGAAGACGCCCGTCGTCTGCCAGGTTGCATCATATATTAGTCCGGAGTGCAAGGTGATCGCCGGAAACATCGAGGTAGGTGGTCAGCTTCAATTCTTTCTCCCTCCTTCTGCCTCCCCTCTTCCTGCGCTTTCTGTTGCCACTGATTGTAAGTTGAGGAGTAAATCTGTAGACTACTGGGAGATGCTGGAAGCTTAGGGATGTCTGTCCGCATGAAATCCGATTTGGTTTCGTCATGCGGTGCCATCACGTCAGTGAGTCGCCGATCCATATAACTGATCTCCACTACGTCGACGATCTCGGTTTACAGACTGCTCTGAAGTTTATGGCTGAGGTCACTCAATTGCTCTGTTTATCCTTGAATCCCGAAAAGACCAGCGGTTTCGTGCTGCTGCAGGCTTGCCCACGAAGAGGCATTAATGGTTGCCAACTTAAAGATGTAGACAGTTTCAGACACCTCGGGTTGAAGTTGCTACCGATTTGACATAGTTAAGGCTATTGGCGGGGCTCATAAGTTAGCACCAATGCGCACAACGGGCCGATTGAGTTCCGTATCCGAGATCGGTGAGTGTCCACCCAACATTGTCAAATACGACATTGTCTGCCTAATCAATGCCCTTGAAATCCTCTAGAAAGTATCAATGGATCTGAGGCGACACCTCCACCATCACGAAAATCCTCATGTACCGTACATCTGACAGATGAGATGTTTGGCCACCGCTGTTTGA